AAAGAAAGAAAGAAAGAAAGAAAGAAAGAAAGAAAGAAAGAAAGAAAAGCAAGGAAGGAAAGGAGAGAGACAAGAAAGAAAGGAGAGAAGAAAGAAAGGAAAGAGAGAGAAGAAAGAAAGTGAGAGAGAAGAAAGGAAGGAAGGAAAGAGAGAGACAGAAAGAAAGAACGTGAAAGAAAGAAAGAAAAGAAAAGAGAAAAACTTTCCGGGGACCATCCTCTGTGCCCTTTCCGCACTCCTCTTCCCCATTTGCTCCCGGGCTCCGCTCGGCAGCCGCCCCCGCTCGGCCTCGGGCCGCGGAGCCGTCCCCCCGTCCCAGCGGCTTCCCCTCCGCTTCTCCCTTTCCTTCCTTCCTCCCTCCCTGCCTCCTCCTCCCTCCAGCCGGGGAGGAACTCTCCGGGCGCCATCTAGGGCTCCTTCCTCCGCCTCGCCCGACCCGACCGGGCTCCAGAGGAGGAGCGCGGGGCGAGCGGGCAGGCCGGGCGGGTCCCGGGCTGGCCTGAGGAGACTTTGTTTTTTTCCCCCCCTCAGGCAGGCGGGCCGGCCGGCCATGGCCAGCGGGGCGCCGGGCCCGTCGTCGTCGTCGTCTGAGGCGGACGAGGAGCGTCGGGCGGCGGCGCTGCAGAAGCTGGTGGTCCGGCTGCGGAACCTGCAGGAGGGGAAGCAGCTGGAGAGCCTCTTGCAGACGCTGCAGGACCTGCTGGCCTTGGCCGGCCTGCCCAGCGGTAAGGGGGCGGCCGCCTCTGACTCCCCTCTCCGAGGGTCCCGCGGGAAGGGACGGGAACAGGACTCTCAGGCTCCTCTCCTCCTGCTTCCCCCCTCAGGTGCCCGGCTCTTCCGCGACGGGAGCGTCTACGTGCCTCTGCTGCTGGTGCTGGTGTCCTACCTGAGGGTGGGGAGAGTGCAACAGGTAAGGCAGCTGCCCTCCTCCCCTACCTCCTCTTTGTAACTCTCCTTCGATCTTCTGTCTATCTCCTCCTTTTCCTCCTCCTCCTCCTATCTTTTTTTCTATCTTCTCCTTCTCCTTGTAAGTCTCCTCCTTCTATCTTCTTCTCCTCCTCCTCCTCCTTCTATCTTCTCCTTGTTGTAAGTCTTCTCCTCCTATCTTTTTCTTCTTCTCTTATCTTCTTCTCCTATCTCCTCCTCCTTCTATCTTCTTCTCCTCCTCCTCCTATCTCCTCCTCCTATCTTCTTCTACCTTCTTGTAAGTCGCTTCCTCCTCCATCTCCTCCTCCTCCTCCTTCTATCTCCTTCTATTCCTATCTCCTTCTCCTATCTTCTTCTCCTTCTCCTATCTTCTCCTATCTCCTCCTCCTTCTATCTCCTCCTCCTTCTATCTTCTTCTTCTTCTATCTTCTTGTAAATTGCCTCCTCCTCCTTCTATCTTCTCCTTCTATCTCCTCCTCCTTCTATTATCTTCTTCTATCTCCTTCTCCTTCTATCTTCTCCTTCTCCTTGTAAGTCTCCTCCTCCTCCTCTTCCTCCTGGACAGCCACGGGAATGGAATAGGGTCTCCTGCTTAAGCCGGGGTTGGACTAGAAGGCCTTCAAGGTCCCTTCCAACTATTCTGTTATTCTCCTTGTCCTTCTGTGCCTGTCTACTTTCTCTTTCTTTCCTTCTCCTCCTCCTTTTTCTGCTCCTTCTCCTTCGTCTCCTTGTAAGTCCCCTCCTCCTCCTGGACAACCGCTAGAATGGAATAGGGTCTCCTGCTTGAACAGGGATTGGACTAGAAGACCTTCAAGGTCCCTTTGAACTCTGTTATTCTGTTATTCTCCTTGTCCTTCTGCTACTGTCTACCTTCTCCTTCTCCTCCTCCTCCTCCTCCTGCCTGCATTTGCAAGCTCAACATTATTTTATCTGCTGCATCAAAAAGAGAGAAAGAAAGAGAGAGAGAGAGAAGGAAGGAAGGAGAGAGAGAGAAGAAAGAAAGGAAGGAAGGAAGGAAGGAAGGAAGGAAGGAAGGAAGGAAGGAAGGAGGAAGGAAGTCAGTCAGTCTCAGGGAGATGGAATGTGTCACAATTCACTTTCTATTCCATTTGGGGCAAAAAAAAATGATGCTTTGACATAATATTGACTGTGAGACAGAACTTCTGTTTTTTAATTATTATCTTTTAAAATAGGCTGCCTCTGTACCCTCCTTACAGTTTGAAGAGATGCATAAAATAAGAATCTAACAAGTGGCTTTGGGACTGCTGTTTGATGAGAGGCATGTTGCTATAAACAGTGGCCTAACTGTGGGGAAATATCATAAGGAAATAATTTCTCTTTTAAACCAAAACCTGATTTAATTACCATAGTAAAACAGTAAGACATAGGTAAAATGTCCCACTATAAATGTTCCTTAAATAAAAATAAACTACAATTGGACAGGATGTTAACAGAAAGCAAAGCCATTTGCTTGCATGTGTGTGTGTGTGTGTGTACACACACACACACACACACACACACACACACACACACACACACATACTGCTCAAAAAAATAAAGGGAACACAAAAATAAGACATCCTAGATCTGAATGAATGAAATATTCTCATTAAATACTTTGTTCATTACATAGCTGAGTGTGCTGACAACAAAATCACACAAAAATTATCAATGGAAATCAAATTTAGCAACCCATGGAGGTCTGGATTTGGAGTTACACTCAAAATTAAAGTGGAAAAAAACACTACAGGCTAATCCAACTTTGATGTAATGTCGTTAAAACAAGTCAAAATGAGGCTCAGTAGTGTGTGTGGCCTCCACGTGCCTGTATGACCTCCCTACAACACCTGGGCATGCTCCTGATGAGGTGGCGGATGGTCTCCTGACGGATCTCCTCCCACACCTGGAAAAGCATCTCCCAACTCCTGGACAGTCTGTGGTTCAACATGGCATTTGTGGGTGGAGCGAGACATGATGTCCCAGATGTGCTCAATTGGATTCAGGTCTGGGGAACGGACGGGCCAGTCCATAGCATCAATGTCTTCATCTTGCAGGAACTGCTGACACACTCCAGCCACATGAGGTCTAGCATTGTCTTGCATTAGGAGGAACCCAGAGCCAACCGCACCAGCATATGGTCTCCCAAGGGGTCTGAGAATCTCATCTCAGTACCTAATGGCAGTCAGGCTACCTCTGGCGAGCACATGGAGGGCTGTGCGGCCCCCTAAAAAAATGCCACCCCACACCATTACTGACCCACTGCCAAACCGGTCATGCTGGAGGATGTTGCAGGCAGCAGAACGTTCTCCACGGTGTCTCCAGACCCTGTCACGTTTGTTGCATGTGCTCAGTGTGAACCTGCTTTCATCTGTGAAGAGCATAGGGTGCCAGTGGCGAATTTGCCAATCTTGGTGTTCTCTGGCAAATGACAAACATCCTACACAGTGTTGGGCTGTAAGCACAACCCCCACCTGTGGACGTCGGCCCCTCATACCACCCTCAGGGAGTCTGTTTCTGACCGTTTGAGCAGCCACATGCACATTTGTGGCCCGCTGGAGGTCATTTTGCAGGGCTCTGGAAGTGCTCCTTCTGTCCCTCCTTGCACAAAGGCGAAGGTAGCGGTCCTGATGCTGGCTTGTTGCCCTCCTAGGGCCTTCTTCATGTCTCCTGATGTACTGGCCTGTCTCCTGGTAGCGCCTCCATGCTCTGGAAACTACGCTGACAGACACAGCAAACCTTCTTGCCACAGCTCGCATTGATGTGCCACCCTGGATGAGCTGCACTACCTGAGCCACTTGTGTGGGTTGTAGACTCCGTCTCATGCTACCACTAGAGTGACAGCACCGCCAGCATTCAAAAGTGACCAAACCATCAGTCAGAAAGCATAGGAACTGAGAAGTGGTCTGTGGTCACCACCTGCAGAACCACTCCGTTATTGGGGATGTCTTGCTAACTGCCTATGCTTTCCACCTGTTGTCTATTCCATTTGCACAACAGCAGGTGAAATTGATTGTCAATCAGTGTTGCTACCTAAGTGGACAGTTTGATTTCACAGAAGTGTGATTGACTTGGAGTTACATTGTGTTGTTTAAGTGTTCCCTTTATTTTTTGAGCTGTGTGTGTGTGTGTGTGTGTGTGTATATATTTGTGTGTGTTTTCTTAAGTTTTCACGGGTACTTACATGTATGATATTCAGCTTTGTTCGGGTACCTAGAAGATGAACAGACCTATGGAACAGCTGTCCTGCCCTACATAAGAGGTACTACAGACAAAATCAGTAAGATACTACACAGGCACCACATCAACACTGCCTTCAAAACAGACAGAAAAATAGCAGCCATCCTAAGAAACCCCAAAGATAAAATTGACCTGGAAAACCAAGGCATATATGAAGTCCCCTGTGCATCATGCCCTCCCACATACATTGGACAGACCAATAGAAGAATAAGTACCCACCTGGATGAACACAGAAATGCAGTAAAAAAGCTGGAACACCCTTCCTCACTAGTCCAACACATGAAAGCCACAGGTCATAGCATCAACTTCAATGGCACCAAAACCCTAGCCACTATAGAAAACCCCAGCCACAGAATTATCAGAGAAGCCATAGAGATTGAAAAAAGACCTGAAAGCATGAATAAAAGAGATGATTCCACCAGACTGTCAATTATTTGGAAGCCTGCACTCACAAACAAAAAAATCTCCACACCACAAGCCAGGCAAACACCTGGGCACAAACAGATCCCCCCGATACCTCCAGCTCAAACACACCCCAACCAGGCACCCAGATGAAACCTAGCTTCCTAACAAATGATAGCCATCCATTTACTCGGAGCCAAGCTGCACTAAAAGCCTCCAATACAGGAACACAATGTTGCCAGCCAACCAAGACAAAAAAAGCCACAAAACAGACAGAAGATATTAGAAACACCAATCAAGCAGAACACAGCAAACTCCAAGACCAATAAACAGAGACCAAGACTCCCAACCAATCAGGATGAAGAAAAAACCATTCTGGCACAGCAGTAAGCTAGCCCCAAATTTAAAACTGAAACAACTGTAAAAGTCTGACTCACAGACGAACACTATACAGAAGCCTGATGTTGGCAGATGAGATTCTGCCGAATCGTTGCTACAACTTTAAAAGCACAACTATAATGACGTGGGAAAATACCCGAACAAAGCTGAATGCCATACATGTAAGTACCCGCGAAAACTTAAGAAAACATATATACATATATACATATACATATACATACATATACATACATATACATATATACACATACATACATACATACATACATACATACATACATACATACATACATACACATATATATATGTTACCAAAACACGGCACAACGAACAAGGAATCGCATGCCTGGAGTGATGTTTTTAATTGAGGGAGCAGTTGAAACACAGACGCTTAAAAAAATATGTAGTGAGAGACACACAAAAACAAACAGATTTCAAGACAGAAACGAAGTGGCTGGCATCCATTTTGTTCTGTCCAGAACTCTGTGGGTGTTTACACTTGTTTTTTGTCACAGTAAAAAAATGACTCCACTGTCAACCAGAAACCCACATTATTTCAGGTCAGGAACAAAACTCTATTTTATAATTATTGCTTGGGATTTGATGCCTTCTCCCTCACGCATTAGATGAAACAGGACAGTTTGTGTTAAGTGTGATGTCCTGGACTTGCAACAATTTGTTTAGCGATCGTCCGAAGTTACACCGGACTCACTGTACTTTACTTTAGTGCTGTTATTTTATTCTATTCTTGCATTACAAGCGAAGAAATTGACTTATTAAAAATTTACTGTCTGGGAAATAGATAACAGATAATCAGAGTTGGAAGGATCATCTAGTCCAACCCCCTGCCCAAGCAGGAGACCCTACAACATTTCTGACAGGTGGCAGTCCAGTCTCTTCTTGAAAGCTTCCAGGGATGAAGCAACTTTTGTTCCATTGGTTGATTGTTCTCACTGTCAGAAAGTTTCTCCTGATTTCCAGGTTGAATCTCTCCTTGTCCAGTTTCCATCCATTGTTCTTTGTCTGGCCTTCGGGTGCTTTAGAAAATAGCTTGAACTCCTTCCTCTCTGTGGCAGCCCCTCAAATATTGGAAGACTGCTAAATCTTTAAGTGGGACGTAAAGGAGGTTGGTGAACTGTATTTTTATAAACCAAACATTTATTTTCTGCTTTTTAGGTGGGCTGGACACTTCTTTGCAAACTGATTAAAATATGCCCAGAAGCTCTGATTCATTTAACAGCTCCACAAGGCATCGGAAAGGACTGGGAAGTTCTCGGTGTCCATCAGTAAGTATACTGTATTACACACAGACTCTAGCACAGCCTGTTACTGCGGAAGAATAAAATATTATCTTGTCTTTGAATATGAATACAATGGAGCTCAAAATGTCCATTGCTAAGCAAGAGTGAGGTTTACCCCTTTCTTGCCACGGTTGTTAAGTGAATCATTACAGTTGTTAAGTCAGTCACACGGTCGTTAAGTGAATCTGGCTTTCCCCATAGATTTTACTTGTCAGAAGGTCGCAAAGGGAGATCTCGTGACCCCTGGGGGGACATTGCATCCGTCATAAATACAAGCCAGTTGCCAAACGTATGAATTTTGATCACGTGATCACGGGGTCATAAGTGTGAAACGGTTGTAAGTGTGAAAAACATATAACTTAATCAGAGTTGGAAGGGACCTTATAGGTCATCTAGTCCAACCCAAAATGACAGATTTTCCAGCAAGCGGGAGACCCTACACCATTTCTGACAAATGGGAGTCCAATCTCTTCTTGAAAGTCTCAAGTGATGAAGCTCCCACAACTTCCGAGGGCAACTTCTGTTCCATTGGTTGATTGTTCTGTCAGAAAGTTTCTCCTTATTTCCAGGTTGAATCTCTCCTTGTTCAGTTTCCATCCACTATTCCTTGTCTGGCCTTCAGGTGCTTTGGGAAATAGCTTGACCCCTTCCTCCTCTCTGTGGCAACCCCTCAAGTATTGGAAGACTACCCTGTCTCTCCTGGTCCTTCTTTTCATTAGACTAGCCAGTTCCTGCAACCGTTCTTCATATGTTTTAGCCTCCAGTCCCCTCATCATCCTGGTTGCTCTTCTCTGCACTCTTTCTAGAGTCTCAACATCTTTTTTATAGTGTGGTGACCAAAACGGCAGTATTCTAGTTGTGGTCTTACTAAGGCTTTATAGAGTGGTATTAGTACTTCCCTTGATCTTGATTATATCTCTCTGTTAATACAACTTACGATTGCATTAGCCTTTTTGGCTGGTGCTACACACTGCTGGCTCCTATTTAGCTGGTTGTCCACAGAGACTCCAAGATCCCTCTCACAGTTACTGCTATTAAGCCTGGTTTCTCCCACTCCGGATGTATTCTAAAAAACACTCCTAAGCCACTCTTTTCAGTAATTTTGTAACTTAAACAGTCACTTAACGGTTGTAAAATGTGAAAAGCAGTCCTAAGTTCTTTCTTTCAGTAACTTTTCAGTAACTTTGAAGAGTCACTCAGTGAATGTTGTAAGTCCAGGGTTGTCTGTGCACATAGCCCAATCATCTAGCTCAGTGATGGCTGACCTTTTAGTTGTCGCATGCCGAAAGTGCACATGTGTTCCTGCACCCATAATGCAATGTGCACGCGCAACCCCCGCCCCTGCATGTGTGCATGCGACCCTCCCCCGCATGTGCTGTGCACCTCTGCATGCACATGCAACCCCCCCTGTGCATGCCCCCTGCGCATGTGCGTGCATCTCCTGTGCACGGCCCACCCCCGTGAATGCGCGGTAGCTACCTGACAATCAGCTGGCTGGTGGGAGGGGCGCACATGCATGTGCAGTGGATCTGTTCCAGGCGATGGTTCATAGGTTCGCCATCACGGGCCTAGCTGAAAATCTGTCATTTTGCTACTGAATTTTGGCAGCCTGATCTCCAGTGTGTTGTAGGCAGTGGTGGGATTCAGCCGTCTTGCACCACTTCGGCCGAACCGATTGTTAAATTGCTGGCCCCTCCCCTCCCCACCCCGCCACTTCCAGGAATCCACACGTGCCTCATTTTGGCTCCCAGGTAAGTGCAGGGAGGCCTACTAGGCCCAAAACGAGGCATGGGAATGTGTGGCATGGCTCCCCTGCGACCCATTTTTGCTCCCAGAGGGGTTCAGGAGGCTGATTGCTGCCTGTCACACACCCCTGGCCACGCCCACCATGGCCATGCTCACCCAGCTAGTCATTAGGGCAGAGAACCCGTTGTTAAATTATTTGAATCCCACCCCTGCTTGTAGGCAGGGGTGGGATTCTACCAGTTCGCACCTATTCGGTAGAACCGGTTGTTAACATTCTAAGCAGTTCAGAGAACCGGTTGTTAGAAGAAATTACTGGCCTAATCCTGTAAGGAAGGCAGGAAGGAAACATTCTGGTGTTGCTTACAAAAACTGCCTCTCTGTTAATCCTTATTACATTCTTGGCAGGACTAGACTGCCTGTCTCAGGAACTTCTCTGGAGTTTTTTCCCCCTCCTTTGCTGGTACTTGTGTGGAGTGACCATTCAATGTTACAATGGCACTGAAAAAAGTGACTTATGACCCCTTTTCACACTTACGACTGTTGCAGCATCCCCACAGTCATGGGAGGCCAGGCGAGGAGATGCATGCCTCGATGTGTGTGATGTTGAGTTGGCCACGTCCATCCAGCCAATAACATGACCACCAAGCCATGCCCACCAACTAAGCCACGCCCACAGAACCGGTTGTTAAAAAATTTGAATCCCACCACTGCTTGTAGGCCACAAACATCCTGTGTGTGTTAGCCAGGACTGCTTTTCAGATGAACACAACGTGAACAATGCATGGTCATAAAAATTTGCTTTTAAACTTCTTGGTTCCGCTTGTCTCAAAAACCCAATTGATGGAGAGGTTTCATCTGGGGTAGAATGAAAAACCCGACAGGTGGAATCAGCTAAAATTTGCCCAGGAGAAGGTCACCAGAATTAGTAATCATAATTAGATCGATGAAACAGTGGGTCACTTTATCAGTGGCTGCAGCAAAATCTGACAAACTTGATTATTCTACAACATGACGATTGAGTTGCCAAAATCGTACATTGACAGCTTTGCTGGAAGTTTGGGTTCGAATGCAGCAGAAATGACTGGGAACTAGGAAAAAAATAACGAAATATTGTGATTTGCAAATTGAAGTTGAGCAGTTATGGAGGAAGAAATTGGTTGTACCGATAGTAACAGGAGCCCTTGGAGCAGTAGAGTTGCCTAGATACATGGAAATTTTGAACTCATCGGAGCTGAATATTCTGAATATAGGTTAGGACTTGAGCTGTTAGGTTTTTACCAGTCCCAGACTGTGAATCAAATTGAAGGTTTAATAACAACAACAACAACAATAATTGTAGACACGCAGCAAGAAAAAAATCACAAAGTATCGGGACTTACAAATTGAAGTTGAGCGACTTTGGAAAAAGAAATCATGTGTTATCCCAATTGTGATTGGAGCCCTTGGGGCAATACCTGAAGGGCTGCCTCTCTATTTGGAAATTCTGAATTTATCAGACTTGAATACCCTGATTCTACAAAAAAACACCCTACTTGGAACAGCTTATATCCTCCGACTCTACCTGAACGGTTCCTAGGTCCTTGGTTAGGACTCGAGCTGTTGAGCTACCAACCAGCCCCAAAAGCTGTGAATCTTACTAAAGATTTAATAATAATAATAATAATAATAATAATAATAATAATAATAATAGACTGGCATAAACCAGTGCAGGTGGTCCCAGTGGTACTGGGCACACTGGGTGCTGTGCCTAAAGACCTCGGCAAGCACTTGAAAACAATTGGCGCTGACAAGATCACCATTGGTCAGCTGCAGAAGGCCACCTTACTGGGATCTGCTCGCATAATCCGCTGATACATCACGCAGTCCTAAATGCTTGGGAAGTGTTCAACTAGTGATTTGTGATACGAAACCCAGCATAGATATCTCGTTTGCTGTGTACACTGTCATTTTTTTGTGTATTATAATAATAATAATTTTACAAAACACATCAAGAAATTGTAGCTTCCTGCAATAACACCAACAGAACTGCAAAAAGCTGAGCTACTTGGAAAATTGTATATTTTAACTTGGTTGATACCTAGAATGCTGGCAGCAACCCATATCAACCATCAACGCCAGTCACTGGTATTTATGATACATTTTTAAATGTTCAGTTGACTGAATTTCATGGTTAATGAATAAAAGTTTATAACAATAATAATATTGTGTTTCCCGGAAAATAAGACTAGGTCTTATATTATTTTTTTGATCCAAAAGGTGCATTAGGGCTTATTTTATGTTTAGGTCTTATTTTCAGGGAAATATGATGCTAAATCTGGCTGATGATCTTAACTGGGGCTTGTTCCTGGGGTAGGGCTTATATTATGAGCATCCTGAGAAATGCTAGGGCTTATTTTCCTGTTGGATCTTATTTTCGGGGAAACGGTAATAATAATAATAATAATAATAATAATAATAATAATAATAATAATAATAATAAT